TGGGTTTCATAGGAGCTGGCCGCTGAATGTAAGAGTGCAGGCTACCCCGGGACTTTGATCCCCTACAGATGCGACCTGTCCAACGAGGAGGACATCCTGTCTATGTTCTCGGCTATCCGCTCCCAGCACAGCGGCGTGGACATCTGCGTCAACAATGCCGGCCTGGCACGGGCTGACACCCTGCTCTCAGGCAGCACCAGCGGCTGGAAGGAAATGCTCAATGTAAGAGTTCCAGGCCTGGGAAGGAGGACCCCGGGGCTCAGGGGACCTGCAGGGGCTTAGCTGGGGCATCCCCTTGGCTCTTGCTGCTTGCCCAGCAGTCGATAGCTGATTGGCCCCTTGCTTCGGACTTGTCGTTTCCTGGGGTTGGTTCTCAAAGTCTGGGCCAATTTCTTTGTGTTTGAAAAGAGAGCAGTGTGGGGGAGACTGCTGACCATTGAGTGTCCCTACGTGTTGCTCTGTGGGCGTTTGGTTGCGAGGTTTTATGTGAAGACCAGGAACAAAGGCCCACCCGTGAGTGTGACTTCAGGCAGCTTGGCCGTCCCCTCTGAGCCTCAGTCTCATCACACGTCATTGAAGTGGACACTTACATCCACTCTGAGATCAGACAGGTGGCCCGGAGAGGTCTGTAGGGACTGGAAGAACACGCAGCCCCTGCCCAAGGAGCTGCCCATGGCAGTGTGGGCACAGGGCGGCAGGCCAGACCTCAGTACCTCTCCCAGAGGGGTGGCAAGTGTATTGGTTTCACACCTCACCTCTCCCATTCACTGAACGACACTTCCAGAAGGGCAGAATATTTTCGTCTTGCTCTCTGCTTTAGCTCCAGCCTGTATTTCTGAGATGAACAAAGTTTTCTAGTGTGTATTGGGCAGGTATTACAACGCTTCAAAGCTGTGCAGGGGCAAACACAGCCTTCAGGTCACAGGTTTTTTGCCTGTGCGCTGTGGGGTGAGACCAGCACAGAAAGTATCCAGAAAACTTGAAAGCACAGCGTAAACACCATGCTCTCCCTCAGAATCCATTCTATCCGATAGATGCTTGCGATAGATGCTTGCGGCTGGAGAGGAAGCCGTGGGCGGAGAAAGTGAAGCCCTCGTCCAGGAGAGCCTTCTAGGGGTGACCATCATGGTCCCTGCTGTTGTGGGAGCATCTGCAAACCTAGGCCCGCGTTCACCCAGGTGTGACTGCAGACCGTGTAGGGCCCCTTCCAGCAGGAGCACCCTCTGAGTCTGTTGGGGTCCTCAATCCCCTGGACACAGGAGATGCCCCAGTGTGGTCCCGAGGCATCCACTTCTCCTCCCTCCGCCCTCACAGATGGACGTTTATGTCCCACACAGCCACCCCACTAAGAAGATTAGCAGCAGGGCTGAGTAGGCCCCGGTCCCAGGCCTCCTCGTCCTTTCTGCCAAGAGCACTGGGCAGGTTCATACTGCGCATGCCTTGTCCTTCGTGCCCCTGGCTCTGGCACCTGATAAAGCAGATGCATCTAATCTCTCAGGTACCCACGCCCTGCTTCCCCAGAGGAGAGGCCTGAGGACCTGCTGACAGCTTTATCTCTGCTGGCCTCACGGGTGGGGCGGCCCAGGCGCCACCAGCAGGCACTTCTTCAGGCCTCCATGCCAGCAAGGGCAGGGACCTGGAGCTTCTGTGCCTGGGCAGCAGAATACAGGCCCCGGGGAGCAGCTCAGGCTGTCTATGGGCACCTGTGGGCAGTGTGGAGAAGCAGGAGGGGAGCATGGCTGGAGAGCTGAGGAGCTGAAGGGGCTTGTGACCATGCTTGCAGCCGTGTTAGGGAGGATGTCCAGCTTCCCAGGAGGGTGAGGAGCCAGAGCTGGGGTAGAGAGTAGGGACTTGGGGAAGGGAAGATGGTTCCCTGAGGTAGAGGTCCCAGCTGCTCTGCAGAGGAGACAGCTGGGAGTGTCCCAGCTCAGGAAAGAGTGTTTGCTGGAGTGTGGAGCATCAGCCAGGAGAGCAGCTGCTTCTGCTGGCAGTTGTGGGTGGTGGCTGCAGCAGGGCGTGTAGGGTCGGGATGACCCACACCCATCCCCTGCTGCTGCTCAGTGGCCCCCGGCTGGAGACATCCCATTGCCTCCCCTGGTCCACAGGTCAATGTGCTGGCCTTGAGCATCTGCACCCGGGAAGCCTACCAGTCCATGAAGGAGCGCGGGGTGGATGATGGCCACATCATCAACATCAACAGGTGAGGGCAGCTGGCCAGTGTGACCTGCCGCAGCTCACTTAGGATCTTAAAATACCCACGTGGCACAATGCTCGTGGAGGGAAGGTATGACAGGGTCAAGTGTGAGCCGCTGGTTGGCTGGGGTAGGCCGCTCGGCCTGTCCCTCTAGGTGCAGTGTGGTGGCTGTCCTGGGGCTGACAGCCCCAGTGCTCAGGCCATGCCTGAGCCTTACTCCTGCTCAGAGCAAGGCTGGGGGGTTTGAGGGCAGATGTGGCCTGTGTTTGAACCACATCAGTGAACACCCACATAAGGCTAAGAGGCTAAGTGACACGCTGCATCCTGTGGTCACTACAGGATGCCTTCAGGGAGGAAGAGGTGGTCAGGAGCTGCTTGAAGAACAAGTTGGCTGACTGGGCTGGAGCTTGCCCCAGAGAGCCCCTCTAGGTGGCTTCTGCTTGGTGGGGCTGGCCTGATGGGTACACAGGGGACACCGCTGCTCTCCTTGGGGCCTCACCTGCTATCCCTCCCCTCCCTCCACCCAGCATGTCCGGCCACCGAGTGGTACCCCAGTCTGTGACCCACTTCTATAGCGCCACCAAGTACGCTGTCACCGCACTGACAGAGGGACTGAGGCAAGAGCTGCGGGAGGCCCAGAGCCACATCCGGGCCACGGTGAGGGTGTGGCTAGCCCTGATGGGGCCAGGGTGGGCAGAGACCCCTGCCCCATGCTCATGGATGCCTAGCAAGCCCACATCCAGGCCCTGGGTGGAGCCACAGTGGTCCTGGGCAGAGCCTCTGTGCACCTGGCTCTGCACACCTCATTCCTCATTTCCCTCATTTGGAAGTCAGTGGCCAGACTTGGAATCCGGGTAGGAGGGGCTGACCTGAGGGGAACATGGTGGGAGGAACCTAGCAGAAGCAGGGGCCAGAACAGCAGGTGCACAGTAGCTAGAAACCAGGAAGACTGCATGACCCAGGGCAAGTCCCTGAACCTCGCAGAGCCCCACCTTCTCATCCATCAAGTGGAGCTGATATTTACTTGGTTCCAAGGCCTCTAGGGACACGTTTTTGTAGAACATGTACTTGCCACACAGGAAGGGCTCTGTAGCATGCATCTCAGTCACTGTTGCAATGGCCGCATGGTGGGAGGCGGCAGTGGCGGGTCGCCAACTGGCTGCGCTGGCTGTACTCTCCCGCGGTTCCCCGGATTCTTCCCACCTCCCGGTAAAGCTCAGCCCCTGAGCAGCCCCTTCTGCTGGCCCAGTGTATCTCTCCAGGCCTGGTGGAGACACAGTTCGCCTTCAGACTCCATGACAAGGACCCTGAGAAAGCAGCCGCCACCTATGGGCACATCAAGGTGGGGCTTCCCTCTAGGCCTGTTGACACCACCTGATCCCTCATTGCAGGCAAAGGGAACCTGGCCAGTCAGCTTGTCACCCTTCCTTGAGGGCTGGGGTGGGAATACAAGGACCAGGGAAGGGCTTGGGCACCCGAGGGGACGGGGGTCCCCTGCATCTTGGTCTGAACCCCTGCCCGGTGCTCTCAGTGTCTGAAAGCCGAGGATGTGGCTGAGGCTGTTGTCTTCGTCCTCAGTGCCCCTCCGCACGTCCACGTGAGTGTCCTTGGGCGTCTGTCCCTTGGAGGAGACCAGAGGAAGGGACCAGGGAGGTGTGAAGGGGGTGGGGAGCTGGGGGGCCCGGCTGCCCCAAGCCTTGTGCCTTCCACAGATCGGAGACATCCAGATGAGACCCACAGAGCAGGTGACCTAGTGTCCTGCCTGGAGTGCCTCCCGCCCCCACCCTTCAAAGCTTGGCTCCTGCCTCTGGATTTTAGATGTTGATTTCTGCACCCATGGATCTCACTCCTATCCCCACTCCCACCAAGGGCAAAAAATTTTGTTGGAGGTTTTTGTATCATCTTATTGTTTCCATTGCAGATGTGACAAAAATGAACTGGGGCGGGGGATTGACTGATTGACTGTCCCCTTGCTCTTGAGCAGCCTTTGCTGTCCTCCGTCTCTCCCTCTGCTCTGGGGGAGGGGCTGAGGTCCACAGGGGTGCTTCCTGTCCTCTTGCACTCCCCGTGGGGGCAGAGGGAGGCCCTCGCCTTCTCTCTGTTTTATCCTGTGCTCCAGGCTTCCTCTACTCCCTGCCCCACTGCTCCCACTGCACCCCCTCTCCCTCCTTCCCCGCTCTCCCTTCCAATCTTGGCATCTGGGCCACCTGAGGGGGTCATCACTCACTTCTGTCCATGGTGGCAGAGTGCCAGGGCTTGGCTCCCAGTGGATTTCACTGTGATCATTAAAGAAAAATCACACCCACCCATCTTGGTTTCAGAAGTCTCTGTGTTCCGGGAGCCTGGCTGGCAGAATTTCCTCCAGGTGAGGGGAAGCTGGGTGGCTCTGAGGCTTGCCCCCTGCGCGTGGGCAGCCTCAGGGGAGGGGCTGGGCTCCTAGGGTCTTTAGCATGGGTAGGAATTTGCCAAAGACACAGAGTAGACAGCTGAATGTGCAGGCTGCAGTCCAGGATGTGCAGGCGCTGTGCAGACACAGAAGTCCATGTGGGAGCGGGCTGGGCTGGGAGAGACAGCTCCTGCCCGGATCACTCAGGAGGACACTCTGCCGCCAAGGAATAGAAGGTTGTTGTTGGGGTCCTGCCGACTAGTGACAAAAGGTCCCCGGGGAAACCGCCATCCCCTGAAAGTGCCACTTGAACATGAGGAACGTCTCATCCCCTGAAAGTGCCTCCGGCTAGTGTGGGGATCCCGGGGTCTCCAAGGTCACGGAAGAGGGGGACAGCGCTGGGCGCGCGGAGGCTGTCGCCGCTCAGCCAGGCCCGCAGAGGGCGCTGTGGCTTCGCCCGGGAGCCAGGCCTGTGCGAGACGCCGCCGGACGCGGAAGCGGCGGAGGGGCGCGTCTCTGTCGGGCGCCCCGCATCCCGGGGCCTGCGGGCGAGCGCCGGCGGACGTAGCAGGGGCCCCCGTGTGCGCAGGGCCGCAGGGGCATGGCACTGCTCCTAGCCCTCCGGGCTGGCCTGGGCACCCGCCCCTTGTGCCAGGCGGCGCGGCGTGGGCCGCGGCCTGGCGGAGAGGAGCTCGGCCGCCTGCCGATGGATGACCTGGCGCCCGGCCCGCGGCGGGAGCTGCTGTTCGGCCTGTCCCCGTGCCTCCTGGCCCTGCGGGCCGCCCGCCGCCGCGTGGCGCGGCTCCTGCTGCAAGCCGGCCGGGCCGGGCTGCAGGGGGAGCGGGCTGAGCTGCTCCGGGAGGCCGAGGCGCGGGACATCCCGGTACTACGGCCCAGGCGGCAGAAGTTGGACGCCCTGTGCGGCTACCAGGTCCACCAGGGCGTGTGCATGGAAGTGAGCCCTCTGCGGCCCCGGCCCTGGACGGAGACCATGGAGGCGGACCCAGGCGACGTCCCCCAGCAGCTGTGGCTCGTCCTCGAGGGGCTCCAGGACCCCCGGAATCTGGGGGCGGTGCTGCGCTCTGCTCACTTCCTCGGGGTGGATAAGATCGTCACCAGCCGGAGAAACAGGCACGAAGGCCCCTGTTCCCCCCTGGGGGCTCCAATAGGGGCTCAGCCTTAGTTTCTCACCCCGCAGCCCCTTGGCCCCTTCCCCAGCTAGTCCCCCACACCCCCCCACCCCCCGATCCCTAACATTCTCCCCTAATCTTTGGAGCCCGGGGAGGGAAAGGCGCTGGGCCGGAGACCACCCAGCCTAATGTAGGAAAATGGGGACCCTTGCAGCTGCCCGCTCACGCCGGTGGTCAGCAAGGCCAGCGCAGGGGCTGTGGAGGTGATGGACGTGTTCTCTACCGATGACCTAGCCGGTTTTTTACAGGTAATGGCGGGCGACATGGGGAAGGCAGCGAGGTGAGCTGGCGGAGCCCCTGCAAGGGCTTTCGGCCGGCACTGATGGGTTAGAGGACGCAGTAGGGACTTTGCTGTCCCTTTGGGAAGGGGAGCGTCCTAGACACAGGGAGCCCTCTGTGAAGGTGGAGACTTGAGGTGGGATGCAGGACTTCCCTAGGCTCAGGCTCTGCCGCTACCTCAGCCTTCCTGTTCCCTGCCTAGTCTTCAGCAGAGGACAGAAAGTCTGGGACACCCCGAAAGGATCTTTGAGCGAAGGGAGCTCTCCGCCCTCCATCTAGGAAGGCTCCCAGATGTTTTAAACAGCGCGGGTTTGGGGGTGCCTGCACCTGTCCTCAGCTGCGCTCTCCGTGGTGGACACTAGGGGGCAGCGTTGTTCCGCACTGGCAGAACCCCCACCTCCCCCGACAGCCTTGAGGAGGGGAGACCTCGGCCCCGCGCGTGAGCATGTGTGTACCATGCAGCCCTGATTTCAGTTTTTTTTTTTTCTAGTAACAGTTGAAAAAAATAAAAACAGGCAAAATAACTTCAGTCATGTATTTTGACATGTAGCCATCAGGAATATTAACAGATTCTTTTATAGTTCTCTGTAAAGACGTTAACCCACACGTTCCTACTGCTGAGTAACCACCTGCGGCTGCTGGCCACTGCTGTGTCTCTGGCTTTGCCTTCGTGTAGGGGAACCCCCTTCAGGGGAACTCTGGCCAAGCCTGATGGGAGATGGGGTCCACTGTCCTCAGTTCCCTGGGCAAGTGAACAAACAAGCCAAAGACACCTGCCTGAGCCCCCCTGTCTGAGCACCAGGGGCCACACCAGCCCCTTCCCCTGGACATCTGGCCCCTAGGGCCTGGCTCCTCCTGGAGGTACCTGTCCACCTGCCACGGCATGCAGTGTCCCTCCCTCTGTTTATCTCCTCTGAGCCAAAGCCTGTCCTGTCACCAGGCCCTCCCCCTTTGCTGCAGCCCCGGGGGCGGCCTCAGCCCACGCCTTTCCTCTCTCCCAGTCACCTTTGCTGATTTCAGCAGATGCCAGTGGTGGTCTGGTCGGAGCCCTTTGCTGCTCTCTCTTCGTTTCTCTCACATCTCCTGTGTCTGGAGAACCTCAGTGCCACTGTGCCTCCTTCCCCCTCACAGGCCAGAGCGCAGCAGGGCTGGCTTGTGGCTGGCACAGTCAGGTCGCCGGGGCCTGAGACTGCCCACACCCCTGAGAGACCCGTCACCAATTGTCTGGAGTTCCTGTGGGACCAGCCCACACTGCTAGTCCTGGGTAGGTGACTGCCCCGCCCCCCTGTGCTCAGCTGCAAGGGTTCTGGGTTCTGGGTCCCAGGGGGATCCCATTGGAACACCCTAACCCTGTGCCCTGCGCCTCGCAGGGAACGAGGGCTCTGGGCTGTCCCCTGAGGTGCAGGCCTGCTGCCAGGTGCTCCTTACCATCCTGCCCGGCCGCCCGCTGCCCGCTGGGCTCGAGTCGCTTAATGTCTCCGTGGCTGCAGGTGAGTCGGGTTCCACCCCTGCTGGTCACACAGCTACAGCTTCTCTCCCCTGCCCTCAGCAGCCCACCTCACTGTGGCTGGGTTGCTGCGCACACAGTGGAGAACAGCTTCTAGGGCTGAAACAAGGGGCTTCCTGCGTGCCCCTTCCCCTCCCCACCTGCCTTTCTTCCCCGCATCCTCCTATCTCCAGGGATTCTTCTGCACTCCATCTGCAGCCAGAGGAAGATGTTTCCTGCACACAGGGAGAGAGGGCAGCTTCTCACAGAACCCCCCACGCACAGCTGAAGGACCAAGGGCAGCCCGGTGGGCAGGGTTGCCGTCAGGCTCAGGCAAGCCAGGCCCAAGTGGCGGCTGCCCCTGGGCGGTCAGGATGTGTGCTCGCAGCCCCCAATGGCCTGTGTCTCGCCTGGGTGTTGACCACAGGCCCCGGAAGTGCAGTCTCCTGCTTTGGTGTTGGACTTGCCGCTGGAGCTGGGAGTTTATTCATTCCTGGGATGGGCCAGGACAGGGAGTTAAGTGTCCTCCCAAGCATCACTGGACGCCGCAGGGGAGTGGCAGGGGTCAGGGTGATGAAGGTATGAGTGCCATGGAGCCTGAGGTCTTCTGGTGCAGAGGCCACCACACTGTGGCCTTGGGTTCACGTCCTCACATCTGTGTGCCTGGTGGCCTGCACCTACCTCATAGACTGTTCCACCGAACCAATAAAGCTTGGCAGGCAGCTCAGTGAGTGGGTGATTCTCTCTGATCTCCATTAGGTGGCAGCCTCGCTCTGTGGCCCACAGCCTTTGAGGTCACCTGGAGCATGGGTGGCAAGAAGCAAAAGGCCAGCACCATCCACCTCCCGTCCACCAGTTCTGCGGTTCCAGTCCACCTCAGCACAGGGAACCATCCAACGGGCAAAGCCCTGTGCCTGGTGCCTATGAGGACCGTGAGGTACCCAGACCAGTTATCCCACCTCCCTGAGGTGCCACAGACAGGGCAGGAGCACCAGTGTGAGCACTGAAACTCGGGACAACGCCAGAGTGGACGCCAGAGGTGGAATGCGATAGAGCCAGGCCACATCTTGGCATCAGGATTCATCCTGTTTGAAAAGGTAGAGGGAGTGAGATCTGTATCTGTTGGTTCTCTTTGCCCAGACACACTCAGCAGGGCAGAGCCAGGCCAAAGCCAGGAGTGCCACCCTGAGGAGCTGGGACCCAAGTATTTGAGCCACCACCTACTGCCTCCCAGGGTGTAGGACTTGACCAGGCTCCCTGATACGGTATGTAGGCATCCGAAGTGGCATCTTGATGGCCGTGCCCAGTGTCCATCCGACTTCAGCGTGCACCCGAGACCCTGTCACCAGAGATGTCACACCTGCAGCGTCTGGGCTAGCTGCGCTGTGTGCTGGAGGACACCGCCATCGCTGGTGCCACTGCCCTACCCAGGAAGCTGCCTCATTCCCCACCTGTGTATCTGGGTCCATGCCAGGACTGCCTTCCTACACGCCTAAGGGGCTTCCCAGGTGTTTTGCATGGCTTCTCGCTCAACAGGAGACTCAGAAAATAAGAGAACAGTGTCAGAAGTGTTCTGCACACCTCAGGACCAGCACTGATAATCCGAGCCCACTGTGACCATTAATTTTACATACTAGCTGGACTGGGCCACTGGGTGCCCAGATGTTGAGGTAAGGGCCTTGATTCTGGATGGAGATGAACATTGAAATCAGTAGGGTGGGCAAGTGTTGAGAATGCCAATCAAGATGGCTACATCCTGTGTCAGAGTCACCTGGGTCTGAACTGGTTCCAGCTGCTTGCTAACACCCCGGGGAGGCAGTGGTCACGGCTGGAGTAGTGGACTCGCTGCTGTCCACAGGATGTCCAGTAGATGGTTGTTCCCACAGCCCAGCTTCAGGCTGACCCATGCCTGAGTATGGGAGACATTTAGGCAGCTGACCAGCAGATGGAAGCTAGCTGTCTCCCCGCCTCTCACATAAATGTAGGTGTCAACAGACAGAAAAGCAGTGGGTAGCCCTCACACGGGTACGAGAGGGCCTATATTGAAGACAGATGGGAGGGAAGCCTCCCTGTTTTGGGGTCAAGTGCCTTGCTGGGTCCTGAGGCTCCCGGCCCTCCAATGAGACAGACACTGGGTGCACCTTGGCCTTTGGAGTGTCGAGACTCAGACTGGAGCAAGACCTGAGGCTCATCTGCCCTGCCTGCATGGCTCGTCCGGAGGCTTGCCCGCCTGTGTCATGGGCCACTTGCTTCTAGTAAATCTGCATGCACACACACATCCCTGTTGTTTCTCTGAGAACCAAGGCAGATGTTCCAGTGACCCCTCCATGTAGGGGAGCAGCTACTGGGGCTCCAGGGCCCCTACCCTGCCAGTGAACTCCTGTCTCACCTGCCCTGGGCATGATGTTCAGCAGCTTTTTGTGCCTGATGGTTTGGAAGGTCCTGACCCTGGGCTGATGGCCAGTCAGACCTGGGGCTCTTCCCTGGGCAGCAGGCTCACTTCAACCAAAGGGAGTCAACTGAGGCTGTAGATTCACACAGGCTCACACTAAGGCAGGTCATGTGGGCAGTTCATACCCAGGCAGTTCCAAGCTAGGTAAGGGTGAAGGTGGGAGGGGGTCAAGGAGTGGGGAGCAGGGATGAGATTGGAATTCCGTCTGTGGCGTCTGCTGCCAGCTCAGTGCTGGCCTGGAGACATTGTTAGGTAAGGGCAAGTTCATGATCCGGGAGATGGAGTAGCTGGGGCCTTGTCTGCAGGGGCTGGGTGGGAGGTCCATCTGACCCCTGCAGGGCAGGCCCAGGACACAGCCAGAGGAGGGGACAGCAGTGGCTATGGGCAAGCCCTGGTTCTTGCTTGGATTCCCATGAGGTACATGTGGGCACGCCGCTCAAGTTCCAAGCCCGTCTTCTGTGAAATGAGGATAGCCAATGGTGTCCACTTCGGAGTCTGTGCTATAGGTTGTAGGAGACCAGTGCCTCACAGAAAGTCCCCAGGCCCGTGCAGGAGGCTGCTGGCCTTTCCCACCAGCACCAGCACCTACCTGCTGTGCACCTAGAGTTGATGGCGTTGGGCAGTGCTCCCCTGCTCGCCTGGCCCCTTTCACCGGCCACACCCGATGGCTGGTTGACACCTACAGGCGCCCTGAGAGAAGTCTGCCTAAAACACCCTTGCTAGGACTGGATTTTTTTGGCAGGAAACTAAATTGTCAGTTCCCCAACCCCCAGGCTGGGGCTCTAAACCAGCTTCCTTCCCCGCAGAGGCAGGCACCAGGGAGCCCTGCAGTTTGTGAATGTAATCAACCCTGAGGTCTCTCACTTCCACAGGTGCAATTAGCATGCCCATCTGCTAATCCCTGATTAACCATGTTTACAAACAGGGGACTCCACTCAGCAGCTCAGCTCCTCTGCGTCCCGGAGTGAGGAGGCAGGGGTCTTCCAGCCACCTCTCCTGCTTTTTCAGACGCCCCCCACCACACCAAGCAGAAACCCCTCTGCCTGGCTGTGGGCAGAGCTGGGGTGCCCTCCTCCTCTGCTCCCTGGCCCAGTTCTCACTGCACACGCGGGGGAGGGAGATCTATAAAGGGTTAGTCTCCAGGCAGCTGTGGGAGCCCAGATGTCAGTTAGGATCCTCCTTGTTCTTCTGTCTTCCAGAACTTCAGGGCATGTTTAGTGGGCACGCTGTCCACACTCACCATCCCCATGCTGGCTCCAGGACCACACGTGGGTCTCCCGTGTGGAATCCCTGTGCACGAGGAACACTGGCTTCTGAGTAAGTCCTGAGTGTTGGGCCTGCTTTAGGCCAGTTGCTGGATGGCACCTCAGTCTCCCATCTGTAAAATGGAGATGCAAATGGGACTTAGCATGCAGGTTGAAGGTTTCCATCCAGGGGAGGACTGATGGTGGGATGGACACGCAAGATTTCACACAGTGCTGGGCACAGTAGTTGCCCAGTAAATATGAAGTTTTTGTTGCGATGAAAATAACAGAATGAAAGGAGGCTTCTGATTCCCTCCTTCACTTTCCAACCTCAACCTCCTCCACCCCTCCCCCAGGGGGGAGGGCAGGTCCCAGCTCATTACTGGTGGGGCTGGGGTGGAGGTGTCAGATTGGAAGCCTAGGTCTGTTCACAGCTTCTCCGTTTCATTAACACTTCCCCAGGGGGTCTCCAACTCATCCTGCTCGGGGAGCTGCTCCAGAAAGTTCTGCCTCCCACCCAGCCCAGAGCCCCTGGTTCCCAGCCTCCCCATAGAGGTCCCACAGAGGGAAGGGATTTTGTTTCCACTCAAGGACCTGTCACTATCCCCCTTTCCTGAGAGTCATGGTGTCCCAGCTGCCCCTCCCCGACCAGCCTCTACCCTAATGGGTCTCCAACTACCCCCAATCCCCCCATTCAGCCCTATTTTCTCTTCCTTGGGAAACTCCTCTAAATTGCCAGCCAGGTGGCCCCAGCAGGTGCCTCTTCTGTTAGCCAGCACTGCATACTTCCCCAGGGGTCAGCATGGTGCCTGCCAAACGTCAGCTCTCCATAATTGGCAGTCCTTGTTAGAATTTCACCGTGGGCAAGACCGCTGCTCTTGGAATTAACTTTCCAAACGAGGGCTGAACGAGAGCCTTGTTCAGCTGCCTGGGTGAGGGGGGACGGCGACAGGAATGAGCATGGTCTGCTCTCACATCCTTGTTCCAGCCTAGGAGAGCCAGGGGGCTGCCCCTACCAATCAGCACCCCAGAGATTTACTCTCCAAGGGCCTCTGCTAAACGAGCTTCCTGTCTAGCACACTCCAGGGAGGCTTTATGGAAATGCCTGTCCTTGGCCCCTGCCCTGGGCCTCTCGGTCACAAGATTGCATTTCTAAGACCACCCTTCACCAGCTGCTTCCAGCGGCCAAGAAGGGCTGGGCTTCCTGGCTTTCTGCTGAGGCCTTGTTTTATCTGCACCCCTCCCCGCCAAGGCATGCCCCTTTAGAGGGAGGAGTCTTGAGTCCGTGGGCTCAGACCCTTCCTGACAGTGGTCTTCCGTGCCTTGGCACTCTCCGCCAGCTCCCACAAGCTCTGCAGACACATGCCCCACCCCCTGGACTGTCCAGGCAGGAGCTGGCATGGCTCCCGGATCCTAACACAGCTCCAGGTCTCGCTGGTGTCTAAGTGTGATCTTGGACAAACAAGTGAATCCTGAGGCTGCAAACGAATTTCCTCAGCGCCTTTGCAGCCGGCCTGAACCTTCCACGTTCACAGAACACAGGAGGAGAAAGGTCACAACTGACCTCCCTCCCACTCCAAGTTGTAGCTGCTCTCGCTTCTC